ACTATTTGTAACGGCTTGTTTAATGTTAGCTCAGAACTGTTTGTAACGACTTGTTCAATGTTAGCTCAGCACTATGTGTAACGACTTGTTCATGTTGGCTCATGATTTAAATTATTTAATTTACCTGAAGCCAAATGCGCCCTTCCCCAGGGAAGTCTGGGGACATCTTGAGATAAGCAGCTTATCTCGAAAGTGTTGATGCATCGCTACAAAATGTGACAGTCTGTCAAACTTTGTTCTTCTCCTTCCAACCGTGTTATCGATTGCTTTAGCCATCACATGTTGACGATGGAGCCGATCATGTGTGGCAATAAGCCCACCAACCACCGTGGGACACCACCACCCGCCCACCCGCCCCCACCCCCCGCCCCCCAGATCGCTCAATACACAAACCACATGTGATCATTAGTTTGACCATGATCTATCAGAAGACCACAATAAATTACATTACTTTGTGGCAATAAGCCCACCAACCACCGTGGGACACCACCACCCGCCCACCCGCCCCCACCCCCCGCCCCCCAGATCGCTCAATACACAAACCACATTTGATCATTAGTTTGACCATGATCTATCAGAAGACCACAATAAATTACATTACTTCCACATATGGTCGTGTTATCAAGCAAGGGCCCACCATGGTATGCTACAGCACAGCCCCACAGTTGCCACCCACTTGTGGCTGAGTAATCAACAAGGACCCACCATGGTGTTCCACAACACATTCCCAGAATTATTAACCTACATCTGGCTGGGTAATCTACAAAGGCCCACTATGGTGTGCCTCAGCACAGATCCACAATGACAACCACATGTTTTAAAATCAATAAATATAAGAATCTTCCGTCAGAACCCATTTTCTAGTGACTAGTGAATCCTTTTATTCTCATTTATGACCAGTCTTGATTGCAACTACCAAGGAAAGCTCCGCCCCCTCTGTCAATCATCCGTAACTCATCCGAGTGGTCTTCTTCTACAGGATCAAGTTTGTGTTCGTCTGGTCCTCTAATATTCTCTACATCAAACAGAGGTTCATATACTGTCCCACGCTGACCTGTGAATGTAGTTCCTGCCCTGTGCAATAGAAAAAAATATTCATAAAAAATTCACTAATTAAATTCACCGTGCCTCTGCACGGTGACTCGAAAAGGTTTTGAACCTTCCCTCTACATGTCTTCAGTTTGGAAACCTTCACTCTACATGTCTTCAGTTTGGAAACCTTCACTCTATATGTCATCAGTTTGGAAACCTTCACTCTACATGTCTTCAGTTTGGAAACCTTCACTCTATATGTCTTCAGTTTGGAAACCTTCACTCTATATGTCTTCAGTTTGGAAATTCTAATCATGCAAGACCCCATGTCATCATTCTCAGACCAAGCCATAATATCAAGATATTGTTTTAAATACAGCGGTGGCGTAGACAGCGGGGCACCCTGTGAAGGCGTAGGAAAGGGGCGCCACGGGCTGACAGTTTTTTGCTTATACCAGAGTACGACATTCACCAAATAAAGTGGCGCGTTTTTTTCATGGCCCGGTGGGGGGTTGGGTAATGTTGTCTCGTCAATGGCTGCACTAACCATAGCTATGGCACTTTAAGTGTTCAGACCATCAGATGTACTCCTAACTTTAAGTGTCCAGGCCATCAGATGAACCCCTAACTTTAAGTGTCCAGGCCATCAGAAGAACCCCTAACTTAAAGTGTCCAGGCCATCAGATGAACCCCTAACTAAAAGTGTCCAGGCCATCAGATGAGCCCTTAACTTAAGTGTCCAGACTATCAGATGAACCCCTAACTTTTATTGTCCAAGCCATCAGATGAACCCCCAACTTTCAGTGTCCAGACCTTCAGATGAACCCTTAACTTAAGTGTCCAGACTATCAGATGAACCCCTAACGTTGCGAATGTGTTGAAAGACTTTCCTGTGACCAGACCATTTCATTAAGTCAAAAACTTGTTTTGAATTGTGCAAGTGGTACCATGAGATGCGTCCAGTCATCCCAGCGATGTGTTAGATCGTGAGAGCTCTACAACGAATCAGAGAGTTGGTTTGATGATAACATACTTGTAATGATCAGCTCTTGTGTGGCGTCTACACCCACAATGACGTCACCAGGTTTGGCACTGTCTGTGTGGTGATGTTTATTTAACTCTCCGCCCTACCGTGGATCAGAGAGGTGGGTGGGCGGTCAGGTTTAACAGCTGCTCTGATATTCTCCAACTGGTCGGCTTTGGTAGATCTCTAATCGTGGAAACACTTAAACAAGTCGTTGCCATGGCTACAGATGCAACAGAAAAGACTACAAAAAGATGGTTTGAGGCGGGAGAGCGATGACGTATTTCCGCTGACTGGCGAGTTGGAAGCTAACAGAAACAGTGCAATTGTTGAAATAATTTTGAAGCATTTCTTTTTATATTCATTATCATAACTAAATGAGTATCTTATCATCTGTCTACATGGTAGCTGTTTTGACTATATTATCATCTGCTTCATGGTAGTTGATATGACTATCTTATCTTGTGTGTTAGTTGATATGACTATCTTATCTTGTGTCTACATGGTAGTTGATATGACTATCTTATCTTGTGTCTACATGGTATTTGATATGACTATCTTATCTTGTGTGGTAGTTGATATGACTATCTTATCTTATATTTACAAGGTAGTTGATATGACTATCTTATCTTGTGTCTACATGTTAGTTGATATGACTATCTTATCTTGTGTCTACATGGTAGTTGATATGACTATCTTATCTTGTGTCTACATGGTAGTTGATATGACTATCTTATCTTGTTTCTACATGGTAGTTGATATGACTATCTTATCTTGTGTCTATATGGTAGTTGTTATGACTTAAATACATGAATGGGAACATAGCTACACCATTGCATGAGTGTTATTAAGCCATCCATTCCTGTGGCGCTACAGCCCATGTAGGGCTTTTGCCTGCTTCACTACATCCTTCCACTCAGACCATCCCTCTCGTTTATGGATGCTGGTATTGTGTTTAGTGTTATAGCTCTGTCTATACCTACTGGGCATGGGCGCCCGCAGGGAGGCGCGGGCAAGGAGGGGCACTTGCCCCCCCTGGATTGATTGGATAAAAAAAATGTAGACAAAAATAGACAAAAAACGTATTAAAGTAAAGAGAAAATAAAGAGAAAGTAACTAAGCTCATGTCCTGTCTGTTCGTTCCCAATACAAATACGCTACAGTAAATTAAAACTATATTAAAACATTACTAAAAAATGTTTGCTCCCCCCCCCTTGAAAGTTAATCGATTTTTTTGCCCCCCCCCCCAGAAAGTTTGTTCGTTCCCAAAACAAATTCCCTACAGTAAATTAAAACTATATTAAAACATTACTAAAAAATGTTTGCTCCCCCCCCCTTGAAAGTTAATCGATTTTTTTGCCCCCCCCCCCAGAAAGTTTTCTGCGGGCGCCCATGCTACTGGGTGAACTGTACCTGCTTGTATGATTTGTTTAAGTGTAGATTTAGTCTGTAATATTGTGTTGCACGTCAGATATAAATGTTCTTTGTCTCATCAGCCCCTGTTCTGCAGAGTCGACATTCTATGTGCCTAACTCTGTCCTTTTTTTCCTGCTTTTAACATGGGATCCTGATATAGACTATACAACTGGTCTAATCAGTTTTGGTTTTTCTTGTAATGTTTTTACTTTTGAATATTTTCTGACTACCGGTACTGAAGATGGCTCTGTTGCCGGCTGATATTCTTTCTTTTCTACCTGTTAGTAATTCATTTCTTTCATTTATTAAAGGTCCTAGGTATCAGAATTTATGTGTGGTTTCTAAAACCTGTCAGTACCATATTCACAGTCATGTATTTTGTTTTTTGGTTGTTAAATTCTAGTCCTGTGTGTAGTGATGCGTCTTCTAATTCAAAAAAGCTGTTGATATGTCATTAGCATATGTGAGATACTGAAAGGGTTAATTGTAGAGAGTGTTCATTGGTTGTAGAGAGTGCCCATTGGTTGTAGAGAGTGCCCTTTGGTTGTAGAGAGTGTTCATTGGTTGTAGAGAGTGCCCATTGGTTGTAGACAATGCCCATTGGTTGTAGAGAGTGTTCTTTGGTTGTAGAGAATGCCCTTTGGTCGTAGAGAGTGCCCATTGGTTGTAGAGAGTGCCCATTGGTTGTAGAGAGTGCCCATTGGTCGTAGAGAGTGCCCATGGTTGTCGAGAGTGTTCATTGGTGCAGAGAGTGCCCATAGGTTGTGGGCCTTGGGTTTCCCTCAGAAAGTATCCTGATATTATTCCTCCGTTGTCAATACGTGTGCTTCTCATAACTCTCTTCTATGTTATGTTCAATCGCATACAAGACAAATTTTTTCCCTTGTCTTGGGCCTCGTCTAATTGGAAATTCTCTCATATAACTTCTCCCTGAACCTTTGAGTTGTGTAATCTTATAATTGGATATAGCCGTATGTTGTCAGTTTCTTTGGTAGGCCATCAAGCACTATAATCATTTTTTTCATAGAAAATCTCGAGTTTCACCTTGTGAATCAATATGATCGATAATTTATATCGATATCCCATAAAACTTTTTTGGTCTTCAAAATGCTAATTATGTATTTCCTATCGCTATATCGCAAAAAAATTAAGACTTTATCTCTATATGTCATGATAATATTGAATGATTTTAGCGCCATATGATTTGATAATATTTAATGATTCTAGTGCCATATGATATGATAATATTGAATGATTCTAGTGCCATATGATATAATATTTAATGATTTTTATCGATATGACATGATAATATTGAAGGATTCTATCGCCATACGATATCATAGTATTTCAACTGACGAAAGGGTGTATCATTCAACATGTATCATTCAACATGTATCATTCAACATGTATCATTCAACAAGATATTTTGTTTTCTTATTTCAGGAGAATGAATAACACAACCTCAGAGACCAATGGAACTTTCGGGAATATTTTTATCTTCTACAACTTACATTCACCTTCAGTTGTCATTGACCAGGTGGTCACGCCCATCTTTTACGTCATAGGACTTCCCGCCAACCCACTGTGTGCTTACATCTGGCTCAATCGCAAAACCAGGGCGAATAACTCGTCTGCCATCTACCTCGGCGCCCTGTCAATCTCCCATGTCATCTTTCTGTTCTTCCACATCCTCCAAGAGCTGCGCTACGCCTGGGACATCAAGACGTACGACGGCTACGTCTCGTGTGAAATTTTCAACATGGTTTTCTGTATCCCACAATACCTTGCGCCTCTTCTAGTCCTGGGCTTCACGGTGGAGCGCTACATCGCCATCTGCCACCCGTTTGCCAAAGCACGCTACTGCACTGTCCGCAGAGCGGCCATGGTGGTCGTCAGCCTCTTCGTCTTCTGCGTGCTCATCAGCACTCTGCAAGCTTACTTCTGGACTTACGATGAGGACAGGCAGATCTGCAACCACCGACCTGAGCTACAAACTGGCAACTTCATCGAGCTGTGGACCTGGCTGACCGAGTTACTTCTCTTTGGAGTCGCTCCGCTCGCAGCTCTGTTCTTCAATATTCTCGTCATTAGAGAAATCAGGAGTCTGACCAGTGGCGGCCCCGCGCACACTGGCATGAGTGGGGGCAGCCAGGCCTCAACAGTGACACTCCTCTGTGTGTCGTTTTACCTTATATGCACTTGGCTTCCGTATACAATAGTTTATTCTCTGTATAAACAGTTTCCCATCGGGGACTTCTCGATGGCTAGTGATGCTGTGAAGAATGACCCCACGTGGCAGAGGCACTTCCTCTACAACACGATCAGGGTCATCCTCATAGAGATCACACTCTCGAACTCAGCCTGTTATTTCTTTATTTACTATGCAACTGGCAAGCACTTCCGGGACTCTGTGCACGACCTCCTATGTCCTACCAAGTGTGTTCAGGAAAACAATCGAGGTCACCACGCCAAGCAGTATATGGCGGTGTCGAAGTCTAACCATTACAATGGCACACTGGTGACATGCGTGTGAGTGGGCAAGGAGCATTGGTGTCATGCGTGTGAGTGGACAGGGAGCATTAGTGACATGCGTGTGAGTGGACAGGGAGCATTGGTGACATGCGTGTGAGTGGACAGGGGGGCATTGGTGACATGCGTCTGAGTGGACATTGAACATTGTGACATGCGTGTGAGTGGACAGGGGCATGTGTAACATGCGTGTGATGGGAGATTTGGCTGATGTGTCTAAATATGCAGTAGCTATTAGCATTATTTATTCCTAGATCTTTGCAAAGCGTAAATGAGATGAACATGATAAGTCATCGGAAATAATCGTTACTTAAGAAGATGCCATAGAGTAACAAATGTAGACACGTGGCTCAGTAACAAATGTAGACACGTGGCTCTGTTAAAATGTAGACATTTGGCTCAGTAACAAATGTAGACACGTGGCTCTGTTCAAATGTAGACATTTGGCTCAGTAACAAATGTAGACACGTGGCTCTGTTAAAATGTAGACATTTGGCTCAGTAACAAATGTAGACACGTGGCTCTGTTAAAATGTAGACATTTGGCTCAGTAACAAATGTAGACACGTGGCTCTGTTAAAATGTAGACATTTGGCTCAGTAACAAATGTAGACACGTGGCTCTGTTAAAATGTAGACATTTGGCTCAGTAACAAATGTAGATACGTGGCTCAGAAACAAATGTAGACATGTGACTCTGTAACAAAATTAAATGTAGACATGTGACTCTGTAACAAATGTAGACATGTGACTCTGTAACAAATGTAGACATGTGACTCTGTAACAAATGTAGACATGTGACTCTGTAACAAATGTAGACATGTGACTCTGTAACAAATGTAGACATGTGGCTCTGTAACAAATGTAGATACCTGGCTCTGTAACCGATATAGACATGTGGCTCTGTTGCAAATGTAGACATCTGGCTCTGTAACAAATGTAGACATTGGGCTCTGTAATATATGCATACATGTAGCTTTATAAAAGATTTTGTCTTGTAGCCTTGTCACAAATGTAGTGATGTAGCACTGTAACAAATATAGACATGTAGCTATGTAAGAACTGTAGACATGTAGCACTATAACAAATGTAGCCAGTAACAAAGATAAATATGTATCAATGTAATAAAAGTAGGTATGTAACAATGTAACAAATATGTAAATGTAGCACATACTCAAGAATTATTTTGTAAATTGTCAAAACATAAAATAAAAAATATCTGAATTTCTATAATCAGGAATGTCTCCAGCAATGAATGTCTCTAGCCGTCAATGAGTGGTACGCCATGAATGTCTGGTATGATATGAATGTCTAGAATGCCATGAATTTCCGGTTAGCCATGAATGTCTGGTATGCCATGATTTGGTATGACATGAATGTCTGGTATGCCAGAAATTCATATGCCATGGATATCTGGTATGCCATGTATGTCTGGTATACCATGAATGTCCTGTATACCATGAATGTCTGTTATGACAGACATTGTTATGCCATGAATGTCTGGTATGCCAGCATTGGTATGCCTTGGATGTCTGGTATGCTATGAATGTCTGGTATACCGTTTAGATCCTTATGTCAAGTCCTCAGATCCCTAAGATAAGGTCCCTAGCTCAGGTCCCTAGGTCAGGTTATCAGGTCCCTAGGTCAGGTCCGTTAGTCAGGTGCCCAGGTTACTGCTACCCACATTATGATTAAACAAATTGAACAAATGCTGTATGTAGTCTTGAATGGAGTTCATGAACTTAACCTTTTTATGGCTGATGTTGAAATAGACATCAATATAATTTGTTTTTAATTATATAAGAATATTTAGCATGACATATAAATAGAATACCACAGCTCCAGCAGTATGTCAAATCAACCATCATTAAAGGCTGTACAATTTAATTAATAAATCGATTACGATAACTGCTTCAACGCTAAAATGTAAGACTGTCAGGTAATAAGATCGATGCCTAGATCTACTTAGCCATACCTGCCCAAACCTGCCAGTACTGGGATATACCTAAGGAAATGTTGGCCAATATATAACTATACCTGGTGGGCAGAAAAAACGCTTAATAGTCTGTTTAAAAAATTCACTCAACTTCATGGACATCCAGCTGAATTCGTGGCAAACCCTTGCTCTGAACCGGACAACCTGGCGTGGCAGACTTACTGTCGGGGCAAAATCATCGGGGAATAAGTGCACCCCTCGTGCCCAAAGAAAGCACACCGTTCACGTCCAAAGAAAGCGCACCATTCACGTCCAAAGAAAGCGCACCGTTCACGTCCAAAGAAAGCACACAGTTCACGTCCAAAGAAAGCGCACCGTTCACGTCCAAAGAAAGCACACAGTTCACGTCCAAAGAAAGCACACCGTTCACGTCCAAAGAAAGCACACAGTTCACGTCCAAAGAAAGCACACAGTTCACGTCCAAAGAAAGCACACCGTTCACGTCCAAAGAAAGCGCACCGTTCACGTCCAAAGAAAGCACACAGTTCACGTCCAAAGAAAGCACACCGTTCACGTCCAAAGAAAGCACACCGTTCACGTCCAAAGAAAGCACACCGTTCACGTCCAAAGAAAGCACACCGTTCACGTCCAAAGAAAGCACACCGTTCACGTCCAAAGAAAGCACACCGTTCACGTCCAAAGAAAGCACACAGTTCACGTCCAAAGAAAGCACACCGTTCACGTCCAAAGAAAGCACACCGTTCAAGTCCAAAGAAAGCACACAGTTCACGTCCAAAGAAAGCACACCGTTCACGTCCAAAGAAAGCACACAGTTCAAGTCCAAAGAAAGCACACAGTTCACGTCCAAAGAAAGCACACCGTTCACGTCCAAAGAAAGCACACCATTCACGTCCAAAGAAAGCGCACCGTTCACGTCCAAAGAAAGCACACAGTTCACGTCCAAAGAAAGCACACAGTTCACGTCCAAAGAAAACGCACCGTTCACGCCCAAAGAAAGCACACAGTTCACGTCCAAAGAAAGCACACAGTTCACGTCCAAAGAAAGAACACAGTTCACGTCCAAAGAAAGCACACCGTTCACGTCCAAAGAAAGCACACAGTTCACGTCCAAAGAAAGCGCACCGTTCACGCCCAAAGAAAGCACACCGTTCACGTCCAAAGAAAGCGCACCGTTCACGTCCAAAGAAAGCACACCATTCACGTCCAAAGAAAGCGCACCGTTCACGTCCAAAGAAAGCACACAGTTCACGTCCAAAGAAAGCACACCGTTCACGTCCAAAGAAAGCACACCGTTCACGTCCAAAGAAAGCACACAGTTCACGTCCAAAGAAAGCACACCGTTCACGTCCAAAGAAAGCACACCGTTCACGTCCAAAGAAAGCACACCGTTCACGTCCAAAGAAAGCACACCGTTCACGTCCAAAGAAAGCACACCGTTCACGTCCAAAGAAAGCACACCGTTCACGTCCAAAGAAAGCACACCGTTCACGTCCAAAGAAAGCACACCGTTCACGTCCAAAGAAAGCACACCGTTCACGTCCAAAGAAAGCACACCGTTCACGTCCAAAGAAAGCACACCGTTCACGTCCAAAGAAAGCACACCGTTCACGTCCAAAGAAAGCACACCGTTCACGTCCAAAGAAAGCACACCGTTCACGTCCAAAGAAAGCACACCGTTCACGTCCAAAGAAAGCACACCGTTCACGTCCAAAGAAAGCACACCGTTCACGTCCAAAGAAAGCACACCGTTCACGTCCAAAGAAAGCACACCGTTCACGTCCAAAGAAAGCACACCGTTCACGTCCAAAGAAAGCACACCGTTCACGTCCAAAGAAAGCACACCGTTCACGTCCAAAGAAAGCACACCGTTCACGTCCAAAGAAAGCACACCGTTCACGTCCAAAGAAAGCACACCGTTCACGTCCAAAGAAAGCACACCGTTCACGTCCAAAGAAAGCACACAGTTCACGTCCAAAGAAAGCACACCGTTCACGTCCAAAGAAAGCACACAGTTCACGTCCAAAGAAAGCACACAGTTCACGTCCAAAGAAAGCGCACGCTAAGGAAAAACATAATCGACTTAATATCCAACTAGGACCCCAAAATAACGCGTCTTACTTGCGGGAAAGCTTTCCAGACACAAATAGATCTGGCAGGCCACCTGCATACTCTACGTTAAATATAACCTTGGTCATATTGGCATGCGAAGGAATAACATAAATGGGGAAATTGAACTGAAATGTAGGCCAACATCACAGTGTATTTTGGTGTAACCATCTGAAATGGCTGATACCAAGCTGCACTTGGCGATACCAAATTTTGTTTGCTGATACCAAGCTGCACTTGGCGATACCAAATTTTGTTTGCTGATACCAAGCTGCACTTGGCGATACCAAATTTTGTTTGCTGATACCAAGCTGCACTTGGCGATACCAAATTGTACTTAGCGATACCTAGATTTTCATGCCGATACACAGCTGCTCATGTCGACACCTAGCTGCATTTGGCGATATTTAGCTGCATTTTGCGATATTTAGCAGCATTTTGAGATATTTAGCTATACTTTAAGATACCTAACTGTAAAATACAAAGAAAAAGCCAAAGAGAAATTCTGCTTTGAACATATCACATTCACATATCACATATTAGAATTTGTAAATAAGGTTAACTTGTAGGATATACTGTCATTTGATACGTTCTATAATTATAATTAATTTCCTCATTTTAAACTTCATTGTTAAGCTCCAGCATACAATCAGCTGCTGATAGAGGTGATGCAAAGTCAATGTATGAGAATATAAAGCAGGCAACAGGCGCTCTGATCTCCAAGACTGCGCCCTTAATGTCCAAATCAAGGGAAATTATTACTGATCGTGATAAACAACTTAAGCAGTGGATAGAGCACTACTTGAAAATATACGCAACGATAAACCAAGTCTCAACCACTGCCCTGGACGATATCCCAGACATGATCTTCTCTCTGCGCCAGATGCAGGAGAAGTGCAGGGAGCAACATATGCCTTTATACATTGCGTTTGTCGACCTCACTAAGGCTTTTGATCTTGTCAGCAGAAGCGGCCTGTTTCAGATCCTCAAAAAGATAGGCTGCCCTACACGACTGCTTAACATCATCAAGCAGTTCCACGAAAACATGCAGGGCACAGTGTGCTATAACGGTGCCGCCTCAGAAGCTTTTCCAGTGAGTAGTGGAGTTAAGCAAGGTTGCGTGCTGGCTCCTACTTTA